TTTGTGAGCCATTTAGCCTTCTCTCTGTTAGAGAGCTCTGGTGCCACAATAAACTACAATTCCCAGGATTCCATAGCACTGAGCCAGGGCAGTTAAGCGGTCTCAAACCGGATTACTTCTGCAGTGTGTTTTGGACCTAGGATTTGCAACTTGCAAAAAGTGCTCTAAAAATGCCTTGCAAAATAGGGTATTTTGACTGATTGTGCAAGCACTGCCAGAAGATACAAATGAATGGAGTCTGCGCTGCAGAAATAATCCAGTTTGGCCCACTTTAACTGCCTTGGCCCAATGCTATGGAATCCTGGGATTTGTAGTTTTGTGGGAGTTTTAGCCTTTTCTGTCAGAGAACTCTGCCGCTGCAACAAATGACAAATCCCAGGATTACATAGCACTGAGTGGGGTCAAACTCGATTATTTCTGCAGTGTGGATACAGCCCAGGTCTATCAAACGGTATTGGCTATTATAGCTAAAAAAAAAAAAAAAGTCCTCCATGTTCAGATGTCTTTTGGGTGCATCTACACTGCAGAAGTAACGCAGTTTGACACCACTTTAAAATGCCAAGGCTCCATCCTGCAGAACTTTGGGATTTGTAGTTCTTTGAGGCACCAGCACTCTCTGGCAGGGAAGGCTTGCAAAACTACAAATCCCAGGATTCCATAGGATGGCGCTACAGGTCTTAAACTCGTGTCAAACTACATTATTTCTACAGTGTGGATGCGTCTGTTTGGCGGGTTTTCCGGAAGCGCTGGACAGGGAAATGCATCGCCGCACAATAATAAGTCTTACTCTTATTCAGCATGACTTTTGTGGAAAATCGTCCCTTCCGGGCTTCCGTACTAAGGGTTCTCCTTCTGAGTCCTATTTTCCTATTCACACCTCATTGGTCAGTTCCTCGTTTCTCTGCTTCCATGTCATTGGTTAGACCCACCCGTCCGTCAACACGCTGAACCCGCCCACTAGCATCGCGCACGATCGTCTGAGCTCTCTTTACATCACCGTTGGAAAAACCGCAGAGATAAACAGTAGAGCAGCGCATGCCGTCTTTTGCATGGGGTGTTTCCGGGTTTAGATTGGAAGGCTTTCTTCCTCTCCATGGCGGAAGTCCG